AATTCCTCTCTCCCTCAGGACCATCCTAGGCTCCATCTGGCATACCCTGACCACATTCCTCAGGAACTCCAGTCACTCCCTGCCTTCCTTACCCCTCTCAGCCCCAGGGGGATGCATTTTACCAGCAAGGCCACCCTACCCAAGACCAGAGCTATGACCTCAAAAAGCCCCACCCCACCAGCAGGAGTGGGTCTACTGTGAGCTGTGTTGTCCTAAGGATTCAGTGTGCCTGGGGAAGGCACTGAGCATTTGCAAAACCACTATACTGTAGCTTCCCCACCTTGGGACAGAGCCCGTAAGACAAGACTACTGATTCACCCTCTACCAGGCAACAGTTTACAGTAGACCTAGAGCCTGACTAGAAGGGCTGATGGCAGGTTTCCTATTTCAAGCCATAAGGACCATCCAGAACCCTGAAGCTGCCATGAGCTGACAAGTAAGCCCTGCTCCACCTGATGACTGCGGTCACCACTCTCCACCTACTAGACCATCATCTGCCCTGGTGCAGGGACCTAGGCTGGACTGCTGATTCTGGGGCTGAGCTAGGCCAGACCCTAGCTTGGTCTTTCCAGTCCAAGCTTTCTCTCCTTCCCCTTCAGTCCCTAGCTAAGACCCTGGGCTGGTGTGGGAACAAGTCTTATGTTATAGTCCCTCAAGGCACGGAAGAGAAGAAATGTCCAGAAAGACCCTTACCAGAAAATCTCTGCCGAGAAGTCAGGGTAAAGTTGTTCCTCCAGGGGGTATACAAGGACACGTGCTGTACCACACACTGGTAGACAGTCTCAGGGTCTTCCTGAGAGGAGTTCAGCTTCAATTTGCTGGTGACATTAAATGTACCATCCGCATTCTTGATGGTGGGACCAGGGATGACACCCTCAAAAATCTCTACGTGATGGGGAACCTCGCGGGTCCACTTCTCCCATGTTATATTAATAGCTTCTGGGTAGAACCCACTTGACTCACACATAATATATTTGCTTTCATTCTCTTTCACCACCACTTGGAACAATCTGCAGGCTGGGGAAGCTGCCAGGGGAAAGAAAAAAACTTAAAGAGTTGGGCCCAGCAACAAACTACCCTTTTATCCCCCCAACACCTTATACTAAGTGGCTTCTACCATACCCTCACACCTGTGCAGCACTGCTCCTGTAGCCAGACAAGACAAAAAACACAGGATGCCTACTCTCTTTAAAGATGGGGACCCTGAGGCATGAGTGATGCTGCAGCCATGTCCAGCAATGAGCTGGAGATTTACAAAACCAGACTGGGCACTCCTTAAGCGTAGGGAGGGTCTAGCTTATTATCAGCCTGACATCTAACCCATGGCAAGCCTTCAGGACATGTGGTTGACAGAATGCGAGTCTGCTTGGGCTAAATATTCTGGGTGTGCCGGTTCCAGTGCCAACTGGGTGTTGACATGCTGTGACCCCAACTCTCAGAGCAATTTTGTAAAGCACAGTTTTCTTAAGCTACGTTGTGCCACAGAGACCTTTCATAATCTGAGGAAAGCCTTGGAGCACTGTTGTGGTAGAGATTGCTAATTGCTCTTCAATTTCCATTCTATGCATTTTTAGCTGGACATGACACATCCAGATTAAAGCTGCATCACCCAACCTCCTCTACAGGTAGGTTTGGCCATGCAAACTCCGGGTCTAGCAGGTCTGGATTTAAGCAAAAGTGGCAAGAGCAACTTCTAGGAAGTATCCTTAAGTTAAAAGGATGTCTTAAAGGACTGTCTCCTTTTCTCTCTCTCTCCTTCATATTTCCTACAGAATGTTTGGAATACTTTGTGATGACCGGAGATGGAGAAGCCATTTTCAAACACAAGGTGGATGATACATATTGAAGATGGCACAGTTATAAGACAAAAGGATCCTGGGGACTGTATGATCACAGAGGAGCTGCCATATCTGCCCTGGGCTGGCTACATTAGTGTGAAAAGGAAAATAAACTGCTATTTCAAAAGCCACTATTGACTTCCAATTTTCCCTCTGACATATAAAGACCTGAGAGGTCATCACTCCCATCTTCATAGTAAGAACAAAAGCTGAACAAATTGAAAATCAACAACCTTTCTTAGATCCCTCAGAGAATTGAAGTGACAGGGCAAACTGCCACTCAGAAAACTGGAGAAAGAAGGAGAATAAGAAAATTATAACTAAGATCAAATTACCTCATGCTGCTGGAGTCATAAACAGGTAGAAGTACTTAAGCAGTAGCTCTGACAAATTGTTAAAGGATGAGTGTGGACTAGCTTGAGAATAAAAACCTCCTCAGGTCCTGGTCTTAGGGATGGTACCATACTTTCATGGGTTTTCATCCTCAGGACCCAGTCTTGGGGATGCTACTACACTGTCATGAGGTTTACTTCCAGGAACCCCACCAGATTCTCACCATAAAGATGCAAGAAAAATATTCTCCTCTTTCTGGGGGATGGAAAGAAGTAATCATTTAAAAATATACCCAGATTATTCCTTCCATCTCAAGGGAAGATGTCGGAGCCTTATCTGACCTGGGAAAAGAAAATTAGCCAACTCCAGCTGTCTATAGCCTTTCTGTATCACTTAAGAAGAGAGAAAAATAAAAAGCTAAGAAATACTTCTGAAGGTCACAGCCCAGAGGCTCAGGCCACTAAAAGAATAAGATTTAATCATAAAAGTATAGACTGATTCTCCTCCAACCCTTTACCATCACATCAACAGGGCTCCAGCATAATAACAGAAGATTATAAGTGAGAGAGCTACAAGGCACAGACCCTATTTAAGGAGTTCAAAAGAAAACTCAAAGACAACAGGAAAGGAGATAAACCACTAGAGGAAACTGAAATTTCTGGCACCTATAGCTACAATAAGCATTAAACACAACCAAGCTCCTAGCCAAATTAACAGAAAGCCTCATAATAAAAGCCCATTTGGCTCAGTTCCTATTACCTGATACATAATATCTATCTTTCAACTGAAAAATTACAAGACATGCTAAAAAGTACATGAAAACAAAGCAAGTATCAGACCTAGACTGAGGGATGACACAGATTTTATAATTATCATAGAGGGAATTTTTTAAAACTATAATTCAAATGTTAAGAGCACTAACAGGAAGAGCAGATAACATGCACAAACAGATGGTTAACATAAGCAGAGAGATGGAAACGCTAAGAAAGAATCAAAAGTGAATGCCAGAACTCAAAATACCATAAAAGAAATGAAGAATGCCTTCAATGGATTCAGTAAATTCAGTAAATTCAGTAAATTTGAAAATGACAAGGAAAGCATCAGTGAGCTTGAAGATGTTAATAGAAACCTCCCAATCTGGGCAGAGTGTGGTGGCTCACACCTGTAATCCCAGCACTTTGGGAGGCCAAGGTGAGTGGATCACTTGAGGTCAGGAGATGGAGACCACCCTGGCCAACATGGCAAAACCCTGTCTCAACTAAGAAAACAAAAATTAGCCAGGCGTGGTAGTGCATGCCTGTAGTCCCAGCTACTCAGGAGGCTAAGGCACAAGAATCGCTTGAATCTGGGAAGCAGAGGTTGCAGTGAGCGAAGATCCCACCATTGCACTCCAGCCTGGAAGATAGAGTGAGACTCCGTCACAAAAAAAATTAAAAAAAAGAAACTTCCCAAACTGAAATAGAAGGAGAAACAATATTTTAAAAAATCAGAATATCTAAGACCTGTGGGATACTGCAAAAGGTGTAGTGTGTGTGTGTGTGTGTGTGTGTGTATATATATATATATATATATATATATATAGTGGGAATATGAGAAGAAGAAAAGAGAAAGGAGCCAAAGAAATACTTTGAAGAAATAATGGCTGAGAATTTTCCAAAAGTAATGACAGACACCAAACTACAGACCCAGGAAGCTTAGAGAACACCAGGTAGGATAAATATCCAAAAATCCACATCTAGGCATATCATATTTCAGTTTTAGAAAGACAAAGATGCCCAAGCATGGTAGCTCACTCCTGTAATCCCAGAACTTTCAGAGGCCAAGGCAGGCAGACCACTTGAGCTCAGGAGTTCAAGACCAGCCTGGGCAAAATGGCAAAATGCCATCTCTAATACAAAAATTAGCCATGAATGGTGGCACGTGCCTGTGGTCCCAGCTACTTGGGAGGCTGAGGTAGGAGGATCGCTTGAGTTTGAGCCCAGTAAGTTGAGGCTGTAGTGAGCTGTGATCACACCACTGCACTCCAGCCTGGGCAACAGGGCAGGATGAAGGGAAGGAAATGAAAAGAAAAGGGAAAGGGAGGAAAGGGGGAGGGGAGAGGGAGGGGAGGGGAAGGGAAGGGAAAAAGATATTGAGTCAATAACTAATCTAAATTAAAAAAGAGCCGGGTGTGGTGGCTCACGCCTATAATCCCAGCGCTTTGGGATGCCAAGGCAGATGGATTACAAAGACAGGAGTTTGAGACCAGCCTGGCCAATATGGTGAAACCCCATCTCTACAAAAAATACAAAAATTAGCAGGTATGGTGGCAGACACCTGTAGTCCCAGCTACTTGGGAGGCTGAGGCAGAAGAATCGCTTGAACTCGGGATGCAGAGGTTGCAGCGATCCAAGATCACACCACTGCACTCCAGCCTGGGCAACAGAGCAAGATGTGTCCCCCCACCCGCTCCCAAAAAAAAGAAAAAGAAAAAAAATCACTTTCAAAAAAAGAAAGCACTAGGGTTTGATGGTTTCACTGGTTAATCCTACTAAACATTAAAGACATAAATAATGCCAGTTTTTTACAATTTCTTCCAGAAAGTAGAAGTAGACAGAGGCAACACATTCTACCTTATTTTACCAGCCCAATATTACCCTACTGCCCAAACCACATAACGTGTTACAAGAAAATTTAACTACAGACCAATACCACTCATTAAAACAGATATAAAATCCTCAAGAAAATATTAGCAAATCTAACCCAACAATGTATAAAAAAATTATACACCATAATCAAGAGAGGCATATAACACATATGCAAGGCTGGTTCATCATTCAAAAATCAGTTAATGTAAGTCATCATATCAACAGGCTAAAGAAAAGCTTACATGATCATACCAATAATGCAGAAAAAGTATCTGACAAAACCCAACAATTATTCATATGAAAAACTCTTAGCAGTCTAGGAATAAAGGGAAATTTCCTCAACTTGTTAAAGAATATTTACCAAAAAGTAGCTAACATCATACTTCATGGCTAAAAAGTAAAATCAGGAATAGGCATGATATTCCTTCTTACCACTCCTATTCAACATTGTAATGGAAGTCCAAGCTAGCATAACAGGACAAGAAAAGGAAATAAAAGGTATAAGGTTAGCATGGAAGAAACATGAGGCAGGTACAGTGGCTCACACAAAAATGGAATCCCAACATTTTGGAAGGCCAAGGTGGGAGGATCACTTGAGCTCAGAAGTTCAAGACCACCCTGGGCAACATGGTGAGACCTCATCTCAATAAAATAAAATAAAACAAAATAATAGAAGAAATAAAACTGTATTTTTCACAGACAGCATGATTTACATAGAAAAATTCCAAGACTTGTCCGAAAAAAAACCTCCTAGAATGAATAAGTGATTAAAGCAAGTTGCAGTATACAAAGTTAATATGCAAAAATCAGTTACTTGACAGGAATGAACAATTGGACAACTGGAATTTAAAATTATAATACCATTGGCCAGGTGTGGTGGTTCACACCTGTAATCCTGGCACTTTGGAAAGTGAAGCTGGTGGCTTATTTGAGATCAGGAGTTTGAGACCAGCCTGGCCAACATGGTGTAACCTTGTCTCTACTAAAAATACAAAAATTAGCCAGGTGTGGTGGCACATGCCTGTAATCCCAGCTACCTGAAAGGCTGAGACAGGAGAATCACCTGAACCCAGGAGGTGGAGGTTGCAGTGAGCCGAGATAGCACCACTACACTCCAGCCTGGGCAACCCAGCGAGACTCTGTCAAAAAAACAAACAAAAAGATGTCAATTTTTCCCAACTTGATCCATAGATTCAATGCAATCACAATCAAAATCCTAGAAAGTTATTTTGCAAGTATCAACAGACAGATTCTCAAGTTTATATGGAAAGATAAAAAAAACCGGAGAGCTAACACTATACTGAAGAAAGGCAACAAAAATGAAGGACCAACAGTACCTGACTTCCCGACTTACTATTAAAATACAGTAATTAAGACAGTGTGGTACTGGGGAAAGAAGAGAGAGAGATCAGTTAAACTGAATAGAACAGGGCGTGGTGGCTCATGCCTATAATCCCAACACTTTGGAAAGCTGAGGCAGGTGAGATCATTTGAGCTCAGAAGTTCCTGACCAGCCTGGGCTCCACGGTAAAACTACATCTCTACAAAAATTGACTGGGAATGGTGGTATGAGCCTGTAGTACAAGCTACTCAGGAGACTGAGATGGCAGGATTGCATAAGCCCAAGAGGCAGAGGCTGCAGTGAGCCGAGATCGTGCCATTGCACTCTAGCCTGTATTAAAAGGAAAAAAAAAAGAAACTGAATAGAAAGCCCAGAAACGGATCCATACAAAAATATTCAACTGATCTTTTGACAAAGGAACAAGGCAATTCAATGAAGAAAGGACAGTCTTTTCAACAAATGATGCTGGAACAATTAGATGTTCATATAAAAAAAATGCATATAGAATATAGACACAACCCTCACACTTTTCACAAAAATTAAAGCAAAATTCATGATAGACCTAAATGTCAATGGTAAAACTATAAACCTTCCAGACAATAACATAGGGGAAAATCTAGGTAGCCTTGGGTTTGGTGGATGAGCTTTAGGATACAATGTTAAAAGCGTGATCCATGAAGAAAAATGCAGTAAGTTTGACTTTATTAAAATTAAGAACTTTTGCTCTACAAAAGACGTTGTTAAGAGAATGAAAAGACAAGCCACAGACTGTGAGAAAATATTTGTGAAACATCTATCTAATAAAGACTTGTATCCAGAATGTACAAAGGATTCTTAAAATGCAACAATTTAAAAAAAAAATGAGCCTAGTTAAAAATAGGCCAAAGAGCTGAACAAACATCTCATCAAAGAAGACATACAATTCCCAGAATTCTGGGAGGCAGAGACTGGCAGATCATTTGAGCCCAGGAGTTCAAGACCAGCCTGGGCAACATGGCAAACCCATCACTACAAAAATTACAAAAATTAGCCAGGCATGGTGATGTGCATCTGTAGCCCTAGATACCTAGGAGGCTGAAGCCTGGGAGAACACCTGAGCCTGGGAAGTCGAGGCTGTAGTGAGCTGTAATCGCACCACTGCACTCCAGCCTGAACAGCCAATAAACACACAAAAAAAGAAGACATATGAATGACCAATAAAAATATGAAAATATGTCCAACATTATGTCATTAGGGAACTGCTAAATAAAGCAACAAATGAAATACCACTATATACTTATTAGAACGGCAAAAATCCAGGCTGGATGTGGCAGCTCATGCCTGTAATCCCAGCACTTTGGGAGACCGAGGCGGGAAGATCACCTGAGGTCAGGACTTCAAGAACAGCCTGGCCAACATAGTGAAACTCCATCTCTACTAAAAATACAAAAATTAGCTGGGCATGGTGGCGGGTGCCTATAATCCCAGCTACTTGGGAGGTTAAGGCAGGAGACTCGCTTGAACCTGGGAGGCAGAGGTTGCAGTGAGCCAAAGTCCTATCACTGCACTCCATACTGGGCAACAGTGCAAGACTCCATCTCAAAAAAGATCTCCAAAAAAAAAGAAAAAAACAACAAAAAAGGAATTGCTAGAAAGCACTGCAGTCTAATAGACAAAGTTGCTTCTTATGGGGGTACAGGTTAATAATTAAACAATTAAATAAACAGAAGACGGTGGGTACAGGTTTCTCACTGGTGGAGTGGGAGTTTACAGATATACAGAGAAGGAGACTAGAATGATCCATGTGGTAATGGATTACAGTTGGAGACGTCAGTAAGAACAAATGTTTAATTTAATATAGAAACAGATGGTTACACATAGAAATATTTATAGATATGCATATATGCAGAGGTTAGTACACATACATATATTTCTTTGCTCTGTCGGCTGAGATGGTCTAGAATCAATGATACCTCAGTAGCAAAAAGTACATCTAGTGTTCAGATCTTGGTTTCTAATATCATTTTCCAATAAAAGGAACCAAGGATTCTTGGAATATTGGTTGGTTCTAGGAAATATACAAGAAAGGAAATAATACGAGATGAATCTGTAATATTTTATAGTGCCAAAAAGTAAAAAGTGCTTAACATAAAACAAAATCCTTGACATGGATTTGCCAAAAATTAAAAAAGTAAAATAAAACAAAATTCTACAATGATTGGGTTATATCAATGGGACACAAGAGTCAAGTGAATGAGTTCCCAGTGGCCAAAGCTTAAACAATTTGAGAAAAAAATAAAGAAGCATTGCATTATGACACAAAATATAAAATAAATACCCTTGAGTCCTTATTGATATCAATGATTGAATAAATTCATAAATGGGAGAAAAGAGATAAATTTCCCATGCAGAAGAATTCTAAAAAAAAAATTATGTAGATACTTCACCCCCAAGGAGGAAGAACATAAGTAACCCCCCCCCCACCTTAAGTGTGAGCTGCACAGAATGACTTCATTTCAAAGAGTACAGTATGAAAATAGGGAGAAGGGTAACTTTTAAGTAGAGAAATCAAACAAATACTACTTCAACTAGGTGATCAAAGTCAACATCTACAGTCATAGTCATGTGATTTGATGTGATGAAAATGGCAGTTTACCTCTGCGATGTTCCTCCAAAAACCCCAAGTCCAATTATGAGGAAGAGAGCAGACAAATCCTAATTGAGTGACATCCTGCAAGGTACCTGACCAGTAGCCTCACCAAACTGTCAAGGGCATCAAAAGTAAGGTCTAAGGAATTGTCACAGCAAAAAGGTGCCTAAGAACATATAACAATTAAATGTAATGTGGTACTCTGATGGGATCCTGGAGCAGGAAAAGGACATTAGGTAAAAACTAAGGAAATATGAATAAACTATGGACTTTATAGTAAGATGTCAACATGGGTTCATTAATTATATCAACGTACCATAAGAATGCAAGGGTATGCAGAGTAAGAGTGATATGAGAACTCTCCTACTATCTTTGCAATGCTTCAGTAAATCTAAAACTGCCCTAAAAAAAATCTATTAATGTCTCTTAAAGTCACTGTTGACCAGGCATGGTAGCTTACCCCTGTAATGCCAGCACATTGGGAGGCCAGGGCAGGAGGATCTTTTGAGGCCAGGAGTTGAAGACCAGCCTGGACAACACAATAAGGTCCCATCTCTACAAAAAATGTAAAAATTAGCCAGGCATGGTGGCATGTACCCGAAGTCCTAGCTACTCAGGAGGCTGAGGCAGGAGGATCACCTGAGCCCGGGAGTTTGAGGTTACAGTGAACTATGATTGTGCCATGTACTCCAGCCTGGGCAACAGAGCAAGACCCTGTCTCCTATGTAGACCCTTTCTATAGATACATAAAGTCTGGAATAACAATGGCTATATATACGGGCAACTGACAGTTGCCCGTATATATAGCCACTGTTGCTGTTATTCCTATGTCAATTGCAGAGGAAATTAATCCTAATTAACATGCCTCTCACTCTCAAAATTACTATGAACAAAACAATCAAAGTCAATGTACAATTATGGAGGGCCCATGATGGGCTGAATTATGTCCTCCTAAAATTCTTATGTCCTCCCAGAATTCCCAGTATCTGTGAATGTGACTGTATTTAGAGATAGGTTCTTTAAAGAGGTAATTAAGTTAAAATGGAGTTATTAGTGTGGGCTCTTATCTAAAATGATTGGCATCCTTATAAGAAGAGGAAATTAGGACACAGACATAGGCACAGAGGAAAGACCATGTGAAGACACAGAGAGAAGATGGCCAGAGGAGAGAGGCCTCAGAAGAAACCAATCCAGAAGTATGAGAAAATAAACACCTGTTATTTAAAGCTACCCAGTCCTATTTTGTTACGGCAGCTTAGCAAACTAACACAGCCATCAAGCTCATCCATGTATTATCAGATCATTTTGTAATACAGCAAAGTGGAGCTCGAAGAGGTGTTTTGGTTTTATTACTGTTAACCCCAACCATGGGAACTGTAGGGCACTGCCCCGAGGCACTCACCCACAACGCCAAGCCAGATCCTTCCGTGTGCCTTCTTAGGGGTGGATACCACCTCACATCGGTACTCTCCTGCTTCCTCCAGCTGGACTCCAGGCAGCTGCAGTGAAGCATCCCCACTCTTCAGCCTCCATGGAGACACACTGGCTCCAGGTCGAAATGCCTTTAGGTGATCTCCAAAAAATTCAAATACCTTGAATTCTTTGTCAAATGTTGGACTCTTCCGAAACCAGGTGATACCTACACTCGTGATGTTGTGGGGTTCAGAATCAAAGAAATTGCAGAATATAGTGACATTGTCATTCAGGGGTGTGGTCTGAGTCCCTCCTTCCATCATCTCCACTTTGAGTTCACCTATGGCAGTAAGAGAACACAATGTTCAGTTTTCCAATTTATGAATATGTTTTTGGGATGTGCTATTGACTGAATGCTTGTATCCTCCAAAATTTATATTGAGGCCCGACCACCCCACCATGTGATGGTATCTGGATGCAGGGCCTTTGGGAAGTGATTAGGTCATAAGGGAAGAGTCCTCATGAGTGGGATTAGCACCCTTACAAGAAAAGACATGAGGGCCGGGCATGGTGGCTCACACCTGTAATCCTAGCACTTTGGGAGGCCAAGGCGGGCAGATCATGAGGTAAGAAGTCACGACCAGCCTGGCTAACATGATGAAACCCTGTCTCTACTAAAAATTCATTAGCTGGGTGTGGTGGTGGAGCCTGTAATCCCAACTATTCGGGAGGTTGAGGCAGGAGAATTGCTTGAACCCAGGAGGCAGAAGTTGCACTAAGCTGAGATCGTGCCACTGCACTCCAGCCTGGGCAACAGAGCAAGACTCTGTCTCAAGATTTAAAAAAAGTAGACAAGACAAGACATGAGGCTGGCATGGTTGTTCACACCTGTAATCCCAGCACTTTGGGATTCTGAGGCGATCACCTGAGCCTAGTAGTTCCAGACCAGACTAGGCAATATAATGGGACCTCATCTCTATAAAAAATAAAAATAAATTAGCCCAGCATGGTGGTTAGGACCTGTAGTCCCAGCTACTTGGGAGGCTGAGGTGGGAGGATCTCTTGTGACCAGAAGTTCAAGGATGCAGTCAGCCATGATAGTGCCACTGCACTCTAGCCTGGGTGACAGAGTGAGCCTCTGTCTCAAAAATAAATAAATAAATAAGAAAAGACATGACAGGCCACATGTGGTAGCTCATGCCTGTAATCCCAGTGTAATACCTCCCACTACTTGGGAGGCCAAGGTGGGTGGATCACCTGAGGTCAGGAGTTCAAGACCAGCCTGACCAACACGGAGAAACCCTGTCTCTACTAAAAGTACAAAATTA